TATTTTTGATTTAATAACATAATTTTTTATAAAGATAATAATTAAGTATACTATTATAACACAATTATTATCTTAACTATATTTTAAATTTTTTATATTTAAAATGAAATATTTATCCAATATTTGATCACGATTATCTACAGTTAGTTACACGAATTCAAAGATTTAATAAGTCGTACTTATGCATTATTACTTGTCATCTTAAATTTTAAGTAACATACATCAATAAACAATAGTTTAAATATAAAAAATAGTTTTTAAATCTTTTTTCTAATTTTAATAACAGTTTATATAATTAACAATGTTTTAACTTTTCCTTTGCAACTTTATACCGCAGTTAAATGAAACTAATGCATCTTTTGTATGAACAGTGAAAAAAAGAACAAGAATAACGTGAAATTGGTTTTTTTTGCAATTAATATTTATGGGATAATTATTGATTGAATAAAATAATAATTTAATTTAATAAAATAATATAAAAATAAAAATAAAAATCAACGAACATTCAGGGAAGGAAATGGGGGAATATGATATGATGGAATTTTAATCAAAGCCATCACGGGAGCAAGATCTCTTTATCTCAGATATTCCCTCACGCATACGCTTCAAAAGGGGGAGTGAAGACGAACGAACACCATAATCATAAGCTCATCACTCTCCCCATCGCTGCCGATCTTCTGTTTCTGGTAATTCTAACAACATTTTCACGCGGTTAAAGTAGTACCAGATGATATACATGTGCGTGTTTTTAAGTACAATCGTATGTGATTATGTGTTGAAGAGAAAGAATTTTGTTAGATCTTTGAGTTTTTGGGTGTTTAGGGTTTTGGAATTTGATCACTGTAAGTCGTTGGAGTAGTCGAGTGCTTGTTTGATTTAAGTTTTTAGGTATATGAAGTACTACTGAATTAGAACTTGTACATTTAAGTTGATTGATGCGTGTAGATAGATAGATACCTTTGTTTTTTTAGAAATTTGAGTCCTGATGTTGTTTTTGTTCATAATTTGGTAAGATAGCGCTAGATCTTTGGATTATTGCAGTTCATAATAGTGGGCTTCAGTTAGTGTGAATTATTAAAGAGGAAAAGTGTTTGTTATTGTTTCTTAGTTGAATTAATCTTATTATACATGTACCGATCTGAAGCACGCACGAGCAAACGCTTAGACTTAGTTTTCTATTGCTGTTTGTGATGATTTTTCAGAGGCACTTTTTGTTCTTTTGGCGCTGCTTGATATGTTGTGTCGATGAATTTGTTTTTATTAAGGAGGATTTGTATTTGGAATTTTTTGGTGATTTGGTTGATATTGTTTATTCCAGTGAGTATTGATGGGTAAAGGAGCCCAAAACTACGGGAAGAAAGACAGTACAGGCAAAGCTTTATCTTCAGACAGTCATGTTGCCTGGGCAAAAGAGGTGCGTGAATGTGAAGAAAATTACAAGGTGAAGAGAGATTATGGTCTGTCAGATGATGAAGTAGAGAAGCGCTTGCAGATCCATGGGTTGAATGAGTTAGAGAAGCATGAAGGACCATCTGTTTTCCGTCTAATTTTAGATCAGTTCAATGATACACTAGTTAGAATTTTGCTTGGTGCTGCCGTGATTTCTTTTGTATTGGCCTGGTATGATGGTGAAGAGGGTGGAGAGATGGAGATCACGGCGTTTGTAGAGCCTCTGGTAATTTTTCTGATACTAATTGTTAATGCGATTGTTGGCGTTTGGCAAGAAAGTAATGCTGAAAAGGCTTTAGAGGCCCTTAAAGAAATTCAATCACAACAAGCAACTGTCATACGCAATGGTAAAAAAATATCAGGCCTGCCTGCAAAAGAACTTGTTCCAGGTGATATTGTGGAGCTTCGTGTTGGGGACAAAATTCCTGCTGATATGAGGGTCTTAAATCTAATTAGTTCAACCCTTAGGGTTGAGCAGGGTTCCTTGACCGGTGAAAGTGAAGCCGTTAGTAAAACCACTAAACCTGTTCCCGAGGAGTCTGATATCCAAGGGAAGAAATGTATGGTATTTGCTGGGACAACAGTTGTAAATGGGAATTGTATTTGTTTGGTTACAGATATAGGAATGAATACGGAGTTAGGGAAAGTGCACTTCCAGATCCAAGAGGCCTCACAGAATGAAGAAGACACACCGTTGAAGAAGAAATTGAACGAGTTTGGAGAAATGTTGACCATTCTAATTGGGTTAATCTGTGCTTTGGTCTGGCTCATAAACGTAAAGTACTTCCTCTCATGGGAGTATGTTAATGGTTGGCCGGCGAATTTCAAGTTTTCATTTGAGAAGTGTACCTATTACTTTGAAATTGCTGTGGCATTGGCAGTTGCTGCTATCCCGGAAGGTTTGCCTGCTGTGATTACTACTTGCTTGGCCCTTGGCACCCGTAAGATGGCCCAGAAGAATGCTCTTGTCAGGAAATTACCTAGTGTTGAGACACTTGGGTGTACAACAGTGATTTGTTCCGACAAAACTGGTACTCTGACCACTAACCAGATGGCTGTGGCTAAGCTTGTTGCTATGGGTCACAGAGCAAATGCTGTTCGATTGTTCAATGTGGAAGGGACCACATATAATCCATTGGATGGTAAAATAGAAGACTGGCCAGCTGGTCAAATGGATGCTAACCTTCAGACAATTGCAAAGATTGCTGCTTTGGTTAATGACGCTAGCATTGAGCAATCTGACAAAGGCTATGTTGCCAGTGGAATGCCTACCGAGGCAGCACTAAAGGTACAGTAAATAGTAGTTTTAACAAGTGCTGTTCTCTATTTGCATCCGACCCACACTTGTTTTAATTAGTAAATGTTAGCCGCTTAAGTGAAATTTGGCACTTGCCCTTTCTGCATACGTTAATGATATCTTGGGGAGAACAACAAGCTCAATTAGCTGTCTCTATTTTCAGGTTCTTGTTGAGAAAATGGGACTTCCTTATGGTTTGAGTTCTGGTTCATCTACAGGTTACAATGGCCTTATGGGTAAGTCACAGTGGCTTTCTTCTCTTTTTTTTACTTGGTTAAGTATATGCGCTAATTTGTTTCCTGTAACCCTGTGAAATAAAGGTTGTTCTCAGGCGTGGAGCAAAACTGGGCGCAGGATTGCCACCCTTGAGTTTGACCGTGATAGGAAATCTATGGGGGTTATTGTGTCTTTGGACTCTGGGAGAAAGTCACTACTTGTAAAGGTAGTAAATTCCTTTTCCAGATTTAGTTTTAAAATTGTATGGTACGAACCTTCATGGTATAGTAGGGTGCAAAATGAGCAGGTTTTGTTTTGATGGTCTTTAATCGTATTCCATCTGCTCTAGTGACAGATTGTTGAACATAGAACAATCCAATGGTTGATTGTTAAGATTTGATTTGAAACTGAAGTTTGTATATCTGTAACTGCAGCCTATATTTAAATAGCCTACAATTAGTTTCTACCTTGATGATATCCACAGATAAAATGCTGTTAACTGCTTGCTCCATGGAAAATATTAATGAAGTTGGTGCTCAATTTTTGACAGGGTGCAGTTGAAAACTTGTTGGAAAGAAGCTCCTACATCCAGTTGCTAGATGGTTCTGTTGTTGAACTCAACCGGAGGGCAAAAGATGCAATCTTAGACAGCCTTAATGAATTGTCGATGAGTGCATTACGTGTTTTGGGTTTTGCATACAAGGATGATCCATCAGAATTTACGACATATAATGGTGACGAAGACCATCCTGCTCATAACCTTTTACTTAATCCAGCCACTTATTCTTCAATCGAAAGTAATCTGACCTTTGCTGGCTTGGTGGGACTGCGGGTGAGTAGTTAATATGTGTTGTTTTGATTTCATATGTGCTCATTGATATCAAAGAAGTTCCAACTGAGTTGTTGTGTTAATGTTATTCCTCAAGGATCCTCCTCGTAAAGAGGTTCGCCAAGCAATTGAAGACTGCAGAGCAGCTGGAATTCAAGTAATGGTTATAACAGGAGATAACAAGAATACAGCTGAAGCAATATGTCGCGAGATAGGTGTATTTGGACTTGATGAGGACATCACTTCAAAAAGCATAACAGGAAGACAATTTATGGACCATCCTGATCAAAAAGGTCATCTTACCCAGAAAGGAGGACTACTTTTCTCCAGGGCTGAACCACGTCACAAGCAAGAGATAGTGAGGCTGCTAAAGGATGCTGGTGAAGTGGTAGCAATGACTGGGGATGGGGTGAATGATGCACCTGCTTTGAAATTGGCTGATATAGGAATTGCGATGGGAATTGCTGGCACTGAGGTATTTCTGTTCCTCAAATATCTCTGTTTGTGCCTCTGCCTGCATTTTGATGACACTATGGTTTGTAATTATAATAGGAAAGATGAATATTATCTATCTGCACACATAAGGATATATGACAATCTTTCTTTTAATTTTATTTCTGCTCCTTAAACGCCTTCAGTTGTGCATCTGCAATTCTGCATGAATTTTGATGACACTATGGTTTGTAATTTTAATAGAAAAGATGGATATCATCTATCTTTACACATAAGTTGTATGCCGATCTTCTCATTTTCTTCTTGTCTAATAATGAACAAGATGCACCAATCGTATAATTAGCATTTGTGTTGGAGTGTGTTTCACTGCCAAATTTCACTTTCAGTTTCCTAAAGCATTTGGGATACCCTTCTGAGTCCTAAATATGTTCCATGTTTTAACGAGGTGGACGTCCTTATCTACTACCGTGGTTTTATTTGAAGCCTTCTCCAAGATCCAATAATGTCGGCCAAACTGGTGTCATGCATTTGTATTCGTATTTTGCACCGATTCTTGCTCCCTGACATTGTGTTTTGTCCCTTTAACCCATAAAGATTGGATTGAGGCTGGAATCCATCTGAAACTTGTCTATTCCATTTCCTTCCTCTCCTATTCTTCCTGTATTTCTTACATCTCCCTTGATCTCTCAAGTGTTATTGCCTTAGCAGATATTGCATAGGGTGGTCAAAATATATAGTCTTATGGCTGCATAAGGTAGTGTGTATAATTATGCATGTACTATCTCATACCACTATTCTTCCCTTTTGTCCCAATGGCCAAACAGAAAAATATCTAAATATGATGTTTTTTAGTATGCTGTTGGAAATAACTTTTCAGTCCCTTGCTTGCTTACTCTAATTTGCGTTTTGATGTTCTCTCACCATCTACTGACGGTAGTTATTAGTTTAACGACATATTCCAACTCTCATCAATTTGTTCATCTCCTGAATTTTTTGTCCAGGTGGCCAAGGAAGCTTCTGACATGGTTCTGGCAGATGATAATTTTAGCACAATTGTAGCTGCAGTTGGAGAAGGCAGATCTATCTACAACAACATGAAGGCCTTTATCCGGTTCGTTTATCTTTCTTTTCTAGTTTATTGTTTTTAAAATTCTGCTGAATATATTGTGTCTGCCAAACTGGCCCAAAGATGGATAAGTACCAGATAGAGTTTGAAAGTAGCCTGGACTAATTGCAGTTTTCTCCACATCCTGCAGGTATATGATTTCTTCAAATATTGGTGAGGTTGCTAGCATATTTCTCACTGCTGCCATTGGGATTCCAGAAGGCCTGATTCCTGTTCAGCTTCTATGGGTGAATCTTGTTACCGATGGACCTCCTGCAACAGCCTTGGGTTTTAATCCACCAGACAAGTACATCATGAAAAAGGCCCCTCGCAGGAGTGATGATTCCTTGATTAGTGCTTGGATTTTATTTAGATATCTCGTAAGTTTTTCTCAAACTTTTAAACAATATCTCCTTTGGATATGACCTCCTTGCAAAATACCAGGGACCTATCACATATAAACACTTCCTTTGAGACAAAATATCTGATTTCATGATTAGAGTTCTAGTTGAGTTTCGCTAGCCAAACAATTCAGTTTTGAAAAATTCAAATGAGTTCTGTAACCATTATACTTGCAGTTCTGTTGCAACTAATATTTGTATGTTGAAGTCGAAAAAAGCACTTAAGCATATGCTAGAACGAGTGGTTCTGCTCAAATTCTAACTTTTGTTCATTTTGCAACAAGTCAAATACAATGGTTAGAGTACTCATTTTGGTTTACTTTTTTTATATGTCAAGACAATGGTTAGTGTGCAATGGAACTACAAACGTTCACTCGTATTCATATTCTTTTTATTTTGTATCGCTAGTCTTTTTACATGACTCAACATGTAGCTCTGTTTTACATGATCCTAGAGGTTGATGTAAGGTTGGACTGCATACATCCTATCCCTTCCCTCCTAAACCCTGCTTTAGGGTGCGATATACTAGCTTGGGTTGGCTGCAAAAGTTGATTTGTCTGAATTTGGAATTGAGCTAGATGGCCTGAGCCACTAGCTTTTGTTACTCCCTCTGTTCCAATTTTTTTATTAACCTGGATATCCAACCCGCTATGTGAGCCGACTAATTCTAGGGCGACCACCTGCTTGCAGATAGCCAGGAGTCACCGCATTTGAACCTCCGTGGCCACAAAGGGGATTTTTATTTCTCCTTGGATTTGAATCTGAGACCTCCTGGTATTTTTGATCTTTGGAGCCAAGTTCAAACCAATCAGGCACCACCCTTGTGGTTCTCTGTTTCAAACTTGAAGTCTACTTACTGAATTTAATTTTTTTTGAGCACTTTTAACATTCTCATCACCAAAAAGTTCCTTGTGGCATGCATTGTTTACTTTGACATAGTAAATAGTTTAATACGTTGATTCTTAAAGGGCAAAACTGTAAATATTTTGAGAGTGGTGTGAATCAACTCTTCATGATGAATATCATGATAAATATTTACGATGAATATTATGTAGACTCGTCATAAATAATTGGTTTTCATGGTTCCCAAAATATTTACGGTTCCTAAATGAACCTTCCGCTGATGCATCTTACCATGTCTGCAGGTGATTGGACTCTACGTTGGTATAGCCACCGTGGGCGCTTTCGTCATATGGTACACACACGACTCGTTCTTTGGTATTGACCTGAGCAGGGACGGTCACAGCCCTATTACCTTCTCACAACTCCGAAACTGGGATCAGTGTTCATCTTGGGAGAATTTCACCGTCTCCCCTTTCAAAGCCGGAGACCAAGTCTTCGATTTTGAATCCGACCCTTGTGAATACTTCCGTGCTGGAAAAGTGAAAGCCATGACCCTCTCCCTTTCCGTATTGGTGGCCATTGAGATGTTCAATTCCCTAAACGCCCTTTCGGAAGACGAGAGCTTGTTGACCATGCCACCTTGGGTCAACCCGTGGTTGCTTCTGGCAATGTCCATCTCCTTCGGGCTTCACTTCTTGATTCTATACGTTCCTTTCCTTGCCCAAGTTTTCGGGATTGTTCCTCTAAGCCTGAACGAGTGGTTGTTAGTATTGGCGGTTGCTTTGCCGGTTATTTTGATCGATGAAATCCTCAAGTGTGTGGGTAGGTGGACAAATGGGGCTAAAACGAGTTCGAAGTCTTCCAAGCACAAGGATGAGTGATGATCTCAACAGAAATTAATACTACTCCAATTTTTAACAACTGGTCTGATTTATATATAAATAGGTTTTAATAGAAGTTATTTTCTTCATGATATTAGGAACAAGTTCATATTCTGTTCTATGCCTTGGTTGCAATCATTGTGCTGGCTTTGCATGCTGTTAATATGTTCTTTTTTAGCCATGTTTTATACCCTAAAAGCATAAACCATTTGGTGTTCTTATAAATCAATACTTTTGAATTGAAAAATAGCAAGTAGGGTATCTGTTGCAACGCCACTATGGATTTTCTTGGCCGTTCTCCAAGACCCTTGGAATTGGTCGACGTACGTGCAAGCTTATCCAAACATCCACTGAAACTTGTACTGATATGAATCCATTGTTGCATTTATTCACAGATGTTAATCCATCTGTTTTGGACCAATGCTTAGATTCAATAATTTCAATCGAAACATGTGCATATACATAATGCATTTATAAGATCTAAGAAACCAAATGTCTTAAGAATCATATCAATATGATGCTTCCAACTTTAGGGTTGTATTCCGAGAAGGGTACGAAGGGATCTCAATCATTGGATCAATTCTAATTGAAGATAATTACTAGATCAACATTAATGAGATACATCAGATCAATTCTCTTTCAAAGCGTAATTCATGGGTCGGTTTGAGATTAAAAGTAGTTTTCTTTCGCCTTCCACTCTACACCTCAACATCTCTAAGTAGTTTTCTTCATTAAGCTTATCAATACAACATTTGTGTATGTATATCTTTGAAAATTAGTAAATATCTTTGACTTGACCTATGCTCTTTGATAGAGATGCACAAAAGAGAGTTTCACTGATTTTGGATCAGTAAGGATCAAGTAGCGATTCTAAAAAAGCAACGATTAGCAAAAGCCTAGCGCAATGATTGGTTATAGGAGAAAGCCCGTTTTAGTCTTAAATTTTGAACTTGTGACCAGTCCTTAACTGGTAAAAAAAATAACTCAGGTAAAGCTTGAAAACCGATCATCTGGTCCAATCAAAGCTTAATCAAAACCCGAAATAAAATAATGAAGCCAATACACTGCCGTGAAGCGGGGTGGAACAACACTTAAACCTGTTTGTGAAGTTGTGAAGGCCAACAATAAATCAAGGTGTTGCTTTGAAGTCACCGACCAAATCTCCCAGGAAACTCTAATACTATAAAAACAATCTTAATCTAGAGTACGTAGTACATGAAAAGAGGGAATACACAACTATCTAATCGTATCTTTTTCATGACTCAAATGCTGGTTTATACATCTATTGTAATTTAAAGACGTCCATTACAACAAATGATCATATAATCAGTAGTTAGGAAATTTTATATTTATTTTAGATATCAGGTTTTTAACTTCTTTTTCGCTCGATTCTTTATCTTAAAGGATCTGGAAATCAAATTTACTTTTTGCTAATGTTAACCAATCATTTGAACTTACGTTGTAATAACTAGTTTTGTAACCAAAAGGGCTTTTGATCTAACAGTATGTGAGTCATTGGCTTCCTAGGAGATCAATGATTCAAATCTCACCAAAAGAGGTGAGGTTTAAATTAAAAAAAATCTTTAAAACTTAATATTGAGAAGATAAATATATTATTTTAATTGTTTTTATTGATAAAATTGAATATGTTATAATTTTTTTAAAAAATTTATAAGATAATGAATTCATAAAATATTATAGTAAATTGTTAAAATAGAGTATATAAAATAATTATTTTATTTGTCGGAAAAGTATTTAATTACGAGACTAAAAAGCCTCAGCGCGCGTATTTTTCCCACAAAAAACCACATACCATTTTTAATCCCAAAACACTTTTGCCACTTCCTCAATCCGTGTGATAATTCACGTCATCAAGGCCGTCCATTGTCATCCATCAACGGCTGCCAATACTTCAAGATATCACCTTCAGGATCAAATCCCCAAAATCACCCACTATATATACAAAACTCTCAAATGAACATCATCACACTCTCCATCTTCATTTCTTCAAATTTCCGAGACTTCATCAGGTACGTTTCATATCAATCGACAACATTTGATAATTTTGTGCTTTTGATTTCATCAGAAATTTGTTAGTTTCTTGCTCTTTTGATTCGAATCTTTCTAGCTTCTGATTTCACTCTTCGATTACAGATTTCGAGGTGATTTGAAGAAATTTGATAATGTCGGGACGTGGAAAGGGAGGAAAGGGTTTGGGGAAAGGAGGTGCGAAGCGTCATCGAAAGGTTCTCCGTGACAACATCCAGGGAATCACGAAGCCTGCGATCCGTCGTCTGGCGAGAAGAGGTGGTGTGAAACGTATCAGTGGTTTGATCTACGAAGAAACTCGCGGAGTTCTCAAGATCTTTCTAGAGAATGTGATAAGAGATGCTGTCACCTACACGGAGCACGCTCGACGGAAGACTGTTACCGCTATGGATGTTGTGTATGCATTGAAGAGACAAGGCCGAACTCTCTATGGATTCGGTGGTTAGGGTTTTTGAGTTTGGGAAAAGTCTTGCTGTGTCAAGAAAGAATTGGGTCGGGTTAAGATCCGAATAGGTGTTTTATGAACTGTAGTTACTGGTGGGTGTTCCATCTTTTGTTACTATAAAGAAGGTAATGGAATGATTTCTACTACTATTTTCTTTGTATTTCTAAAAAGTTGATTATTTTTACTTTTATTTATATTATCTTATAAATCAGTTGATAAAAGTTTTTAAAACTATTTTTAT